TAAAACCAAACTGTAAAAACTTGCAAGCTGTGAGTATGCAAACAGTGACTAGTATACAGAGTAAACAAAAAGACACGGGAACAAATTCTGTGCTCTGCTACTTCCTCTTTGCAGTGCTCTGATGGCACAAAGGGGTTGAAAATTGCCCAGTCTTTCCTGAAAGAAATCTGTCTGTCATTGGGGAGACACCAGCAGCTGTAGAGTCAGATGTAGACTCTACTTTCCTGCACAAAACCAACTCTGGAGCCAGGAGAAGGGATGACTAGAACAAGCTGCCCTCCAATTATCTCTGTCATTGGGGACCACTGCCAGATGCACAGGTTAAAAACACCGCTCCCCACCCAAGTTGCTCTAATCTACATTGTGCTGAATTTAGAATTGAGAAAACATCAGGCTTCCTGATGGTACTCCTAAGTAATGGGATTTGGGACACTGTGTAATCAAAAGGTGCTGTATATATGTTTTGCTTTTCAGGATTTAGGTCTCACAGAGCAAATACACTTCTCATTACATGTAGTAGAGAAGGCTTTTCACTAGGTGAACATAGGGCCATCCTTAGGATTTATGGATCCTAGGTTGTACTATTAAACTGGTTTTTCTATGCCTGGCGGTAGCCTGAGCAAAAAGCAATAACAGTTTTGTAGAGATGTGATTTTTATAATCTTCAGCAAAATATTACTAACATATTTTAAAGCAAATTTTAAACTAAGGTCCTATAGACTAACACTGTAAATTCAGAAACTGACAGTACAAGTGGCTCCCGACTTACGACGCAATTGGTTCCTGGGGAAGCATTGCAAGTCGTCGTAACTCGAACCCTCATTAACGATAGGCACCATGTGCCGTCTTAAATGCGGGCTGAGGACGTAAGTCAGGGGTTTTCAGCCCCTTACGCACTTACAAAAATGGCCATAAGTGTGGGGGGGTTGCAAGTCGGGCCGTAACACGAGGGTTTCCTGTATATACCTGAGATTGGCAAATGCCTATTACAGTAAAACTCCGATAGTCCGGCATCCAACTGTTCGGCACTCCCGATACTCCGGCATCAAAATCCCAAGCTCTCCTGACCAGCTGATTAAAAAGCCTGCCACTCAGCATATGTGCTGGCTGTAACCAGACTGAGCATGGGGGGGGGAGGAGAATGGGATCGTGTTACAGTATGGAGAAGAGCATTTTGCTTCAGCAAAGGGAAAAGGGGAGGGGAGGGGAGAGGGAGGAGGATCAGGTTACAGCACAGAGGAGACAGGAAGAGGAAAGGGAAGGGGAGAGGGAGGGAGATTGTGTCCTGGCCAGCTGTTAAGCCCTGCAGATGTACGGACCTCCCGATTCCTGGCAAATCTGATAATCTGGCACCACCTAGGTCCAAAAGGTGCTGGATTATCGGAAGTGTACTGTAAGTGGTTTCATTGCCACTTGAATGGCTCTTTCATAGGTTTTGTGTTCTGCTAATGGCTCTGGCAGACTTTTTAATCTTTGTTAAATAGATCCTCTCCAGAGGCAGCAGAGCCATGAACAAGGATTGGAAGAGGCGGGTGGGTGGACATTAAGTCCAATAGTGCCCTAAATTTTCAGCGCCCTACACCACTGCTTATTCTGCAAATGGGTAACGAGGGCCCTGAGTGAACCTTTGAGATACTGAGCTAAGCCTCGTAGATAAATGCTTTTATGAAGAATTTTTACTTCTGTGCCTTAATTTTAAAAGGAAAAATTATGCTGGTGGTTCTAAACTTTAATAATTATGTTATAAATGCATGCATATTGAAATGTTTTCTACATTAGTAAGATGCTAGGGAGAACTATTGCTGCTATAGGTTCCAGTGAACCACAAAGTACACTGTCTATCTTTTTGATCAGCTGTTTCTTTGGTCTAAAGCTGACATGTTGAAGGATATACTGACTCAGTTAAAAGAGCAGGCTTTCTAATGCAGATAACTGTGTTGAACTATTTAAAAACTTGCCTCTTTTTAAAAATGTATCTTTCCTTCCTCTGAGAGTAAAATACAGGACTATGTAGCACTTTAAAGACTAACAAGATGGTTTATTAGATGATGAGCTTTCGTGGGCCACACCCACTTCCTCAGATAAAATAGTGGAAGAAAATAGTCACAACCATATATACCAAAGGATACATCCAGAAATATAATTTATGCTATCATGTGCCGAAAGTGTCCGTCTGCTTTGTACATTGGACAAACGTCTCAGACACTTCGCCAAAGGATCAATGCCCACAAAACAGATATTAGACAGGATCACTTAGAAAAAACAGTTGCTTGCCATTTCAACCAGAAAGGACACTTTCTCAACGACTTAATTACCTGCATCCTGCTTCAGAAACCTTTTAAATCTGCACTTGAAAGGGAATCCTCTGAACTGTCATTCATGCTAAAATTCGACACTCTACGCGTGGGTCTTAACAAAGACCCTAGCTATCTTACCCATTACAAAGATAGCTTCCCCAGTTATCACCTCTAATATCATTGGCTCACAGACATTTTACCTTTTCAGTTTACACTGACTGGTAACTGAAAAGAAACTTTGTGAGACCACAGGAAACTTGGCCACACCCATGCTAAGTGGACATCCAACTAACTAAAATCATGGCGGACCACGGATGTTGCCAGATTAGAGAGTGCCAGACTAGAGAGGTTCAGCCTATTGCTGATGAATAGTGCACAGCACTTTAGGATTGGAAGTGAAGAAGAGAATTGAATGCAATTGAGAAGTCCTGGAAACTTTTTGATGCAATTCTGTTATTACTATACAGGCAGTCCCCGGGTTACATGGATCCGACTTACATCGGATCCCTACTTACAAACGGGGTGAGGCAACACTGCACTAGCTGCTTCCCCCCAGCAGACCAGGGAGACGCAAAGCTAGCGCCCCCCTCCAGCAGACCAGGGAGACGCGGAGCGGCTTTTCTCAGCAGACACCTCAGCTTGAGAATAAAGGACTGAGGGAAGTGAGGTGTGGGAGAATAAAACTGAGCTCTGGAGAAATGTTTGGCTAGAGTTTCCCCTACAATATGTACCAGTTCCGACTTACATACAAATTCAACTTAAGAACAAACCTACAGTCCCTATCTTGTACGTAACCCAGGGACTGCCTGTATTCCACACTAAGGTTTACACACCTTTTCTTACAAAATGTGCTGTGGGAATTTTTAACAAAAACTAAATATTGGACGACCCATTTACCTCTTCTGTCATTCAGTTTTCTCATCTGTAAAATGGCTCTAGTAAGAATAAAAGAACATTGTGAAGCTTAACTGTTTCCATAACTTTTTTGAGATAAAAGATGCTGCAGAAATTCAAAGTATTGCTAATGAAGAAAGGAGAAAATAATATACTGGGATATATTTTGCACCAGCTTTTGCCACAAAACTAGATATAGATTTTCAGTCTCTTCTTTCTCTCTGATTTATCCCCTTTGTTACATCTGTGCTTTTATAAAGCTGGGTTTCTTTTAAATTAAGAGCTAATGTATATAGCCAGGTAATTTTTGTTCTGAATAAATCACTGAACTGCCTATTTCATCTGCACATGCTATAAAAATGCTTAGGTTTAATTAGAAGCAACCCACAACAGCATGAATTTTTTATCTGAGATTGTTCATTGTGTTTGAAGGCTTGATTCAGTAGTAGACTCCATCTGTAGCTATTCACCTGTGAAGTGAACGTCAGCCAGCCACAGGGTTAATGCTAATTCCTTCCAGAAAATTTAAAAGAATTCCCTCATTGGAAACCTCAGACTATCACACTGGATGTTACAGTTTTTGTTTGCAGCACAAAAACAGTGATTCTGCCAACTTGATTGTGAATAGGGGACTGAGGGTCTGATCCAGGCCTTTCCACTAAGTTCCATGGGAGTTGGATCTGGCTCTAAGAAGGGACTCCTCTGAGAGGGCTTTGATTTTGACTGGTATCTTTGATTGTTAGCTGATCAGTTTGCTCCTGGCTTCAGCCAGAAAGATAGACACAGAGCCTGATTCTTTTCTCACTGATGCTGGATTTTATATCGGTGTAACTCCATTAACTTCAGTGTCACTGTTGATTTCCACTGATGTTAGAGCAGCAGATTCGTGATTATTGGACATCTAGCTAACTAAAATCATGCCAGACCACAGATGTTGACGGACCAGAGTGTGCTGGACTCAAGAGGTTCAACCTGTACTCAATTCACAAATTAACAGAAGTGAATGTAAATTAATATTCAGTGATAAACTTAACTGAGAATTTCCACACGTCTCTAAGTTTTGTAACTGTTATTCTTTCACAGCTGCATTTGTAAGCAGGGAATAATTTATCTGCCTTGATTTTTAAAAGTTCACAAACATTATTTGAAAAATACCATACATTTCCCCCTGCCTTCTCCTATATCTACTTTTCTCTTTTTTTCTATATCTCCTGTTATAGAAAGCTCTCCTTGAATAATTCAGGAGTAAAGAATTGAATGCAAGAACCTGAAGAAAACAAAAAGCAATGCTTTTTTAAAGGAATTTTATTTGGCTAGGACAGCAAAGTTAGTAATTCATAGAAGTAAATACTGTGGACAGATTCACTGCATTCAGGCAATAATAAAAATGCCAAATACCTATATTTAATTGGAGGCTTTCACCTGGGATGGAGATGGTGGGCCTCATTATGAGTGTCAGGCTGGTGTTAAATCACTTTTATTTCCATCGGCTTTATACCAGTGAACTCGAGCTCAGAACCCAGTTTGGTGGTCATGATTTCTCTAGTTTTTGTTAGTCTCAGTTGATGTAGAAAATATTTTTTTATTTTTGTTGAATACACTTTATTTCAATGTTAAGGGAAGGGTTATCTTACTTTATAGTTGATTACTTTTTCTTTTTTAAAACCTCCCCCCCCCTTATTTTCACATCACAAACTTTAAGAAAGAAAAAATGGTACTTTCTAATCATCAGTCCAAAATGTGACTCCTATGCCAAAAGCAAGATTTTACCTAAATCAGAGAATTGTTCACTTTGATTGTAATTTATAGGAAGCCAAGGCAGCAGTGGAAGAGGCAAGAGCCCTGCGAAGTAGGATTCATCTCGCAGAAGCTGCTCAGAGGCAGGCTCGTGGAATGGAAATGGATTATGAAGAAATAATCCGCCTATTAGAGGCTGAAATTACAGAGCTGAAGGCTCAGCTCACCGATCATTCTGGCCAAAATAAAGTAAGCGGAACAGTCATCTCTCATAGTTACCATGGTTTCCTTGCTGTTGTCATGTATCCTGTTTTCATTTTCTTTTCATCTGCTCTTCTAAAGTAGGTCACTGTTTGTCTTGTATTATTCAATAACTGGAATGTGTAGTGAAGGGGCCAATGTGAAGGCTATGAGCCTTTCTTTATCTAGATATCTTTAGGCTAGAAAAACAGGAGCCAGAAGCTTATTTGGGTCATTGGTCAATATGGCACATCCCAAACATTAAAGTATGAAATGTTGAATATTTGTGTTTTCTGTTCTGTTTTAAAATGTACTAATATATGTCATATAGAAATTGAGGCAAAGAAAAATATTTTTTGTGGTTGATTAGAGCTTTCAAGGAAGTGTGAAAGACTAAAAGGTCTTTTAGATTCTAAAGCAATTTCACACAGGTTCAGTTTCAGTTTTTGCCTCGCGTCTGTTTTAAAACCGTGCAGATGTATCTTCCGTAAATGCATTTGTTGTTTATACTTGATGTGGTGTTAGTTTTTTCTAGCCTGTTTCTTAATGATATTCAAATAATAATATACAAAATACAGGATTATTCTTGAATAAATTCAAATGTACTCAAGGTAATCTTTTAAAAGATGCTAATGACATTAGTATGATCTAAAAAGATTTTCTAAAAGAAAATGGTTGTACAAATCAGCCTCCCACTCACAGCCACCATGTGATCCCCAATTGTCCATTTTTAGAGACCAATTTAGAAATAAAGTGGTTTGGGAACATTTTTAATGAACCTCTAACTGGGGATTGATTTTCATGATGACACACATTGTCCATTATTTCTTTGTATGTCCCTATTGTTAGTCTATATCCATCTGTTGTCTCTTGTCTGATACTTAAATTGTAAACTTTTTGCAACAGAGACTGTCTTTTTTTATTGTATGTTTGTACAGCACCTAGCACCATAGGGTCCTGGTTCATGAGTAGGGCTCCCAGGTCCTACAAAATACAGATAAAACTAGTGATTATAATTGGTATTTGTGTATGTAGTTTCCTGGCTTGCCTATGGGAAATGAATATGCCCAATAATTTATAATAAGGGTGGCCTGCTGACATTTGGCCCTTTTCAGTGTGAAAATTAGTTCAATATAAAAAAATAAAAACTGTTATAAGTGTTATAAAGTGCATGGACTTAATACTTCACTGGATTGAATGTTCTTCATGCTATCAGGCCCAGATTTTCAAAAGAACGCAGGTCCCATTTTAACACAAAATGAGTGTCCAGATTTTCACTTGTGATCAGCACAGTGATGCATGTTGGGTGGTAAAATCTCTTGAAAATCTGGTCACAGACATGACTGCTGAGTGCTCGAAAAGCTGGGCTTTCAAAAGTCTGTCTTGGGGCCTGATCCTCCACTCACCTTGTTCGGTGGTAACACTCCCATTGATGACAACAGGTGTTAGAATCTCCTCAGGGCAGGGACTCCATTCTTGGTTGGTCCTTTTGCATTACCATGATAAATATGATAGATTTTTTTACAAAAAAATACATTGTTATAAAATGTTATGATTCCAGTTTGGTAGCCATTTACTTCCACTTTGTTTACTTCCACTTTCTATAAGTGGTTGAGCACTCAGCAAGGCAGTAGAGACTAAGGCCCCTTAAGTAGCATACGAAGTACTCTTCTAAATTTAATTTATGCAACCAGTAGCGTAAGCAAGAGATATTGAACATTTCACCTTGTTTCTTTAGATACAGTATATGAAGAAGAGTTTGCTCTACTTTGACTTTTGATAAAATCTGTAAGCCAGGGAAACCAAAACTGTATTTAGTAAAGCAGCAGCAGTTGGGTGTATTTTATGAAATCCTCCCTAAATAGGCTTAGCATCTCCTTTTCCAGTAATGAACAGTGAGAGATACATTACAGAAAAGAAACTTTCTAATCAAGCAGACTTTTTGGTATTCAGAATAATGGGGATCCTACCACACAAAACTGGGTGCTTTAAATAGAGATGCACTTAATAGTAACAGAGCACTTTTAGTAGTTGCAAATATTATAGTAGGTTGAATTCAGATGGTGACTAGCTTCAAGAGAAATACATCTACACAGTAATTTCAGTGTTTGTCTTTGTAGAAAGTGGGGTTTTCTTTCCCTTTTACTGGGAAGTATTTTGTTCTCTAATCCTCTGCCTAGACCACAGCTCAAGTAAACAAATATGTCCATATAAACATGGTGGCTTCCATTTCATTCAACACCACCAGAGGTTGAATCCTGTAGAGCTAAAGAGCCAGTCTCTGTTGATGGACCTGTACCAGACTCTGACCCTGTGTGGATCAGGCACAAAGGGGGACATATAACAAACACTGAATTATGGGTTACACTTGACTATGGAGAAAAATCAGAGTGGTTTAATTTTGCTCAAAGCCTGCCACAACCATTCTTTGGGATGATTAGTTTTAAACTTCATACAACGGAACCTCATTAGTTCACAAATTGATAATCCATGCAGTGTAAAATGTGCACAAATTAAGTCTTTTTCCCCATTTCTTAGCAAATATAACAAGGGAATGATTCAAAAGTTTCAGATGGGTATTAGTCTGTAACTGAAAAAAATTCAAAAATAAAGAATAGTCTTGCAGCACCTTAGAGACTAACAAAAAAATGTAGATGGCATCATGAGCTTTAGGTCTTGGGTAACTAAAGTGGTGTTGCTTTTACAAAATATGCTGTTTTATATGTTATCATTTACATTCTAAAACTAAGCTATGGTCTTCAGAATAATTGAACATAGATTTTTGTTCCAGCGCCATTTGGCTTAGGCGAATAACTAGACTGCCTGAGATTTCAAGTCTAGGGCCATTTTACAAATATGTAACTGAGGGAACTGAGGTGAAAGAAAGACTAGGAGACTTGCCAAAGGTCACACAGGAAGTTTGTGGTAGGCCAGGGAAATGAATGTAAATCTCCCACATTCTAATAGTGCCCTAAAAACCAGACCATTTTTCCTCACAGATTTTTTAATTAAAGTTCCTTATTATTTCTGTTCATTTTCCCCAGTGGGTCTTTGCTTTTGTGAGATTTTAATGCAAAAAAACAGTTTAATTCAGAGTTTAAAATCATTTTGATCCCACAATTTATCAGAAAAGGAATAGAAAACTGGCCTTCCCACCATGATCAAATCAACATGTGGGATCCAGCACCAGGCTGATGTTGCCTTTTGTAAAAGAACAAAAAAAGGGTGTTGTAAAAAGAGAAATGGTGGCTGCAGTCAGGTGAGCCTGGTTCCCAAGGACGTCCAATGACTAGCTGAATCAGAAGCATTCTAAAACTTCTCATTCAACTGTTTCACTCTCAGATCTAAAGTTAAAAGGCCTTGCAGAAAAGAGGCTTGTCTGTAGGAACAATTAATTCACACCAATCTGGGGTGTGAAGCTATCATGCAGTAGCCAACTGTCCAGGCGGCACCTTGCTGACATCTTAATAGTTTGTTAGAGCACTTTCATCTAGTCCTGAAAGTGCTCTGATAACACACATCAGCAGGGTGTTGGTATATAGCAGGCCAGTGTCATGTACAGTCACACCTCCCTTTGCTTGCAAACTAATTGTTTATGCAAATGAGTTCTCAGTTACTTGAACATGGAGGACATAAAGAGTGCTACATTGGGGAATCTAGGAAAGCATTGAGGGGACATTAAAAACCTACAGTATATCTTAATTTATAAATTCAGAATTTATTTTAAACTTCATTTGCATTTTTAGGCCACTTATGGCCTTCAGGATCCTTTTCATAAAACAGTATTTTTCCCCGCCTTCCTGTTTCCTTTAAAATTTCCTCTTTATCGTTCACTGAAAAAGGGAGAAAAATAACAAACAGGATAAATAAAATTAAGTGTTCAAATTAATTAGTGTTGACTGAATTTCTTCCCCAGGATAGCATTCAAGATCTAAGAAAGAGAATCACTGTGCTTGACTGCCAACTGCGGAAATCAGAATTGGCTAGGAAAACCTTTGAGGTGGCCACTGAAAAATTGCTACAGTTTGTAGAGGTAATTTTTTTTCACTGTTGTCTCCAGCAGCATTGTATTTGGGAAAAGATGTGTGTTTATTATATTTGTGCCTCAAATTTATTAACTTATGCATGTATTTGTAAAATTGTAGTTTGAAAAAAATCATAGCTTATACAACTTGCTAAAATAAGGGTTAAGGCAGAATTCCATATAGGTATTTGATTGTTTTTGGGTGTCTAGTTGTAACAAGCATTTTCTTTTTGTGCATTAAAACCTATGATCTTAGCATTTAGACTCAAATTTCTTTATCTGGAAATGTTAAAATAATGCCCATTTGCAAAATTAAGAGTCAGATACACATCAGTAAACAGAGGTTATGTTGAAAACTTAGTAAAAAACCTGAATGGTAGCTTGCTGTACACTTAATCCAACTCAGCCTGTTTTGCACCATTTTATACTGAGCCATTTACTCAGTGTTGCTGTGTCACTTTATACTAGTTAAGGATATGGTCTATGCATATATTTATTTCACATACAAGACAGATTGATAGCATGGCCATATAGCTCATATACACACAACACTGATGTGTTTTAATGAATCTTGGGCAATTTGTGTTTGCCTCCCCAATATTGTGGACCTGGGTTGCCCCGGCTGTGAAAATAGGGTGATTTTTGCATGCTGTAATTTTCAGGTAGCTTAAAATTGTTATTGCTCCTTCTTGTGCTGACTACCAATAGAATAAAATCTCCCAGACTTTGTTTTTGAGTGTCAGATGTGGGAAAGGTGCAACAGGCTTTTACAAAAGAGTCCCTTGGGGGAAATACGTCATTTAATGTGTTCTTTTTTTATATCTCAGCAATATACCTTATTTGTTTGAGCAATTTTACTTCCATAAAGATTGAGACATTTTTCATTTTATAATCCCTTACATAGTGGCATACCAATAGGAAAATGTTTGGTTTAGCAAATTAGCCTTTGTACGAGAAAATCTGTGGTATGGGAAATTAAGTCTGTATGAAAAGTACCATACAATATATTGTTCACATTCACATATCTCTGGATGAGATGCTATGGATGGATAAAATGAAAAATCATAAGGTTCTGTTATAAGAAAACTGAGAACCTATCTTATTCCCTGTGACTACAGCAGGGGTGGGGAAGAAGGGGCTAGCAGGCCATATCCGGCCCACCAAGCTGCTGGATCTACGGACTGCAGCCACCTTGCCGGCACCCTTACTACAAAGTAAGAGCAGCCGCTTTAAGCAGCAGGCTGCTAATTGCTATGCAGTCTGGGTAGGAAGGAGAAAGCCTTGTGTGCTGTTCCCGCCCCCTAGCAAAATCCCCAATCTCCCATTGTCCAGTTTTCCAGCTTAGAAAGTTTGCTGACAGCAGGAGCAACAAATGAAGCCTCCTCATGAGCAAAATCACATCATGGAGCAGTGCCTCCCACCCCCACCCCTACACCCCAACAGTCAGGGAGCCTGTCTCAGGTTCGTGCAAAGCTGCTGGCTGGAAGTTGCCTAAATAAACACCTCCCAGCCAGATCCTGCCTCTGGCACCCCACCTCCTCGATTCCCCCAACTGCTGCCCCAGGCCACCACCCAAACTCTCTGTATCCCCTCTCTCCACTTCCTCTAGGTCACAACTCTCTCCCAGATCCTGCACCTCCTCCTAAACTCTTCCCTCAGGCCAGAATCCTTTCCTGCACCCATATCCCCTCCCTGATCCTGCACCCCATTCCTCTGCCCCACGTCACCACCCAACCCTCTTCCCTCTCTTTCCCCCTTCTCCCAGCCCTTGCATTTCCTCCTACATCCCTCCCCCAGACCAGAACTCTCTCCTGCACGCATAACCCCTTCCTGGACCCTGCACCCAAGCCGCTGCCCCAGATCATAACCCTTCCTTCACTCAAACTCCATCTCAGACCCCACATTGCCTCCTGCATCCCAGTATTCTATCCCAAGCTCCTTTCTACATCCCACCCGCCATTCCAGACCCTGTGCCCCCTCCACAGTGGTGTGTGGCCCTTGACCAATTACCAAAATCTTGGAGTGGCCCCCCCATTCAAAATTATTGCCACCTCTGGGCTAGAGGACTACAAAGTGTGTGTATAGTTTGGAGGGAGAAGAAGATCTATAAGTAGACAACAAAGCAACAAAAATAATGACAGGTGTCTAAAATATTAAAATATTAACTATTCATTTCTTGGATTGTTTGTCAACAGATTGTGCATGAAGTACTATCAGACTCTATCTCCTTATCAGCTTCAAGGTAAGAAAACCTAAACTTAATTTTTTAATTGACTGTAATATGGTGAAAAGACATGATATATATCAGTACATGTTGTTGTTGAAAATCTTTGTTGCAGGCCTAGAAGTGCCAAAGAATTCCTCCTAAGCCTTAGCTGTTTTCTTTCTATACTCCCATGCATTTCTGAATGCTACTTTTATGAACACTGAAAATAAAAACACAATACTGATCTTGGAGTTGAAGGTTTCGGCTACCACTTTCATTAACAATCTGAAGATAAAACCCGTATAGACACAGCCCACCTATGGGCATCTCCATGCTTGCATCAACTAAAACTGCTATGCCCCAGCTACTGCATTCTCTCTTCTTTCCCCATGCAAAAGTAAGATTGCTGCATCTTGCCTATTTCCAGAACCAGTTAGCATCATCACTCTGAGTGCCACCAACATCTGTCTAATTCTGTTTCTTCTGATTTTCCTTACTTAAGTCTTAGTAGACATTGCTGTTCTATTTTCAGAATGAAAATGTTTCGAATAAAAAGTATTTAGCTGTAGGAGAAGTGACAGTGGAGCCAAAAACAATACTGCTTTGCATGTTGGCGGCTTTGTCTCAGGTTTGACAAATACAGTTCCCTTCTGACTTTGCTCCTGCTCCCACAGAAGCCAATGGAAAACGTCCCATTGTCTTCATTTGGAGCAGGATTAGTCTGCCTGTTTATAGTCTTGTTGGAACCTTGTGAATTAGCAGAGCTGTCCTCAGGCAAACAATAGTATTGGAATGTAAGCAATCTATTAAACATTTAGATAAAATATGTTTCTGTGGCAGCAGAAAAGTTCCATGCAGGAAAATCTTTTGGAAAGTTATCTCATGACCTAGAAATGCAGACTGTCCACTGTTTGTTGTAACTGGATTACCTACCGTCTGTCATTTGTGAAGATTAGAAACACCACTTGAATTTAAAGAAGAATTAAAACATCCTTTCTTTTCAGTTCACAGTGTCTCATTTCTTACAAACACTAATGTCACTGATGGAGATGGTCTCAAAAGGCATCTTGAACACAGTGAAACTATATTAACCATGTGTTATGCTTTTGGGTGTGAAAAATCCTAGTATATTTCCACTATGGTGCCTTTTTCATTGCTTCCTAGTTATTAACATGTGCACATTCATTGTTGTCATTCTTTCTTATTTGTAATGAAACATGCCTCTACTATTACTACTAGGTTGAGTCAAAATGCTGATGATTCTTGTACTGGTTTTATACTGGCATAAGGAATTTTTATTATGGGCAACTAATGCTAATTTTAGATGTGTGAGATCAGAATCAGATCCTTTTTTATAGACTCCTGAAATAACAAGGCGAACGTCCAAACTACCAAGCTTGTTATTTCAAAATAGTGGGCTTGTTATTTTGAAATAATAATTTCTTCATCGAGTAGTGTCCCCGAAGGTGCTCCACTCGAGGTGCTGGGCTTGTCCCAGCACCGCACACTGGAGGATTTTCACTAGCAGTAACCCCCACCAGACCGCACATGCATGACTGCTGCCTCACGCCGCTCAGCTGAGTGCGGTCCGGTCTTGTCAGTTTCCTTCCACCCATCCGTGGCCACAGACAGAGTTAGGTTATGCTTCCCCTCCTGTCTGAGGAGAAAGGGAGATTAGTTTAGTTCAGATTGTTCTTATTTTTTCTTATCGTTATTAGCAGGGCTCAATAAATCACTGAATCTACTCACTGAGATAGATTTCAGCCAGTCGGCCCATTCACCGGTGGCACGAGCATGCGCATTGTGGGTCTTGCGCATGCGCAGTGTGGGACTGGCAAGTAGGTTTCACCACCGTTTGTCAAGCCCTGGTTATTAGTGTTAGTGTAGTTGTTCTCCCTAATTGTAGTCCCGTTCAGTTTTAAAAGGGGGGGGAAGCCTTTTTTTCCCCATTTTGAGTTAAGTTGCCGCTGACCAAAATTAAGGACTATGCCAGGATCACTTGGTTTTAAAAAGTGTACCCAGTGCCAGGATGCCATGGGTACTCAGATGGGTACTCCCGGTGCATTAAGTGTCTCGGGGATGGACATGTGCTAAGCTGACGGCACGCGCCTGGTGGGACCGAGAGCTAAGATTGAGGGTCCTCTTATTTAACCAAGCCCTCCAGACACCGGGGTGCCTGAGTCACTCTCCGTTGGAGTGCATAAGGATCACCTCGCACAAGAGACCCCCCCCCCCCCCCAGGGCTCTGCAGCCACAGACCAGAATCCCGTGGAGAAGTCAGGCAAGGGCCATAGTTCCTCGGCCCCAACCGTAGCCCGCTGCAAGGACTCTACCCTGGCACCCGCAAAAGGCTCACGGGCAGAGTCGGTGCCAGCAACGTCTCCAAAGGCCGTTCTGAAGCCGGCAATGGCCACCCCGGCACCAGCATTTCCTGCACATGTGCGGATGAGCACAGCTGTGCCGGCACCCACAACAGCGGTGCTGGCATCGTCTTCTTCTAATGCTTCGCTCTCCCCGATGCCGGAGGCACCGGCACCAGAGTTGGCGCCGCAGGAGGGCACCGTTCCTGTGCAGCTCTCGGCACTGACATTGCCTCCACTTGTCCTGCAGCCAGCTATTCCAGCGACACCGAGCCTCCAGCCAATCAACAACCAGACTATGGAGGCTGCTTTGTTGCCTGCCAGTATGTTGCAGTCGGCACCGTTGTTTCCCCTCAAGTCCTCGGTGCCGACCAAAGCGCAGCACAAGTTAATATTAGCATTGGACCACTGCTGTGTACTCACCACAAGTGGAGCACCCTCGGGGACACTACTCGACGAAGAAGAGAGAGTTACTCACCCTGTGCAGTAATGTCTGTTCTTCGAGATGTGTGTTCCCATGGATGCTCCGTTTCCCACCCTCCTCTCTGCTTCGGAGCTTCTGTTTATCTCTTTTCAGATGCTTCCGGTTGGGAGGAAACTGACAAGACCGGACCCTGCTCAGCTGAGTTGTGCAAGGCAGCAGTCGCACATGCGTGGTCCGGTGGGGGCTAGTGATAGTGAAAATCCTCCGGTCTGTGATGCCGGGATGAGCCCAGCACCTCAAGTGGAGCACCCACGGGGACACACATCTCGAAGAACAGACGTTACTGCACAGGATGAGTAACTCTCTCTTCTGCTTGTGAAGAGGAATAAGCTTATTTTGAAATAATTATTTCAGGAGTTATTACTTTGAAATAACTTATTTTGAAATAACCTGGTAGTGTAGACATAGCCCAAGAGTTTCTGCAACACAAAGCACCTGCTTAGGCATTTTATAATCTTTATCCTTCTGCCTAGCTAATCCCTCTAAAAGAGTGGATGTCCTCAACAATCCTAATACCTCAAGAGCAAAATGAAGATGAACCATTCTAAAAAGGAGAAATGCCACATTATGACTAACTTCCAGCTACTTAACTAACTTTGTCTGTCTAGTGCAGAGTTTCTCAACCTTTTTTTATAAAATACCCCTTTTTCAAAAAAAAAAATGAGTACCCTCAGTACCTATAGATTTTGGACACACAAAAAATTTTTCTACCATTGCAACACCTTTGTTTAAAGAACTTAATCGTAGCTGGGCAGGCAATGAAATTTTGGGTGTAATAAGTACAAATAATAAAGTACCGTAAAACTTAAAAGAAAAATTCAGTTTTCTCCAAATTTCAGTTGTGTTGACGTACCCCCCAGACTTCTCTCAAGTACCCCTAAGGGTACTCGTACCACTGGTTGAGAAACACTGGTCTAGTGTATCTGGCTATCTTGGAACAAGTGCTAATCAGAGATCAGTGTTGGGGGGGAGGGGAGGGCTGCATTCAGCCTAATGTTTTTTTGTTTAAACTCATTGTAGTCATTATTTGCAAAGACAAAGGTAATTCCAGTGTAGAGATAAAAGTTAACTCAGCTCTCAGACATACGTAAATTATTACCCATGCTGCAATGTCTGTCACAGAACTAGGTGAAGTTCAATTTTGGATCAACACAATCTAAAATTTATTGAAATTTCCAAGTGTCAGGTTGTCTCTTTCCAAGCTACTGAAAGAGCTTTCAATTCAAAAGAACAAAAGGCCCCGCCCCATGTTTCACTCTGAAGCTCATCAACTATATACATGGATAAATCTATTTTGTAATCTCTAAGGGCATGTCTACACTGTATTCCTCTTTCGACAGAGGAATGCAGACGAGCGAAATTGCAAATGAAGCATGGATTTGAATTTCCCGTGCTTCATTTGCATAATCGCATCCAGCCACTTTTTCGAAATACCCTGTTCAGAAAAAAAAATGCTGTCTAGACACAGTTATTTAGAAAGAAAACCCTTCTTTCAAAATAACCCTTACTCCTTATAAAATGAGGTTTAAGGGTTATTTTGAAAAAAGGGCTTTGTTTCGAAATAACCACATCTAGACTGCATTTCTTTTCTCAAAATAGGGTATTTTGAAAAAGCAGCCAGACGTGATTATGCAAATGAAGCACGGGAAATTCAAATCCATGCTTCATTTGCAATTTTGCTCGTTTGCATTTGCATTCCTCTCTCGAAAGAGGAATGCAGTATAGACGTACTCTCAACCCCTCGTAGATAGATGCTTTTGTAAACCGTATTAATTAGTAATTAATAGCACATTTCCAGAGATAGAGCCCCTGAAACTATTAAGAAATTATCTGAATTTGGATTTCCTGGAGACCCAAACCTTTTAATAAGGATTTTTTTTCTCTTCAACATTTTCTTTCACCAGATGTTGCTTTTGCTACAAAGAAAGAAGCATTCAAGCCTGTAATCAGGGAAACCATGTTTATCTAAACTTTATGAAAGTGAATTGAATTACTTTAATTAAAAAATGCTGCAGATCAGATGCATTGAACAGGATTTAGAGCAGTCTTTGACCTCTTAAAATACCAATATAATTCTATCCTGTTTCACAGAGCAGGTTTTTCCTTGTTCATATTCAATAATAAATGGTAAATAGAACCCTATTCTGCAAAGCTTATTCAGGAAAAAAATCCTAGTAAAGTTAAATCTGTTTAACTGAAATTATTGGTGGTTTTGTATCATTGACAGTTGAAAGATGAAGCTCTCAGACTCAGAATTTGTTAAGTAGCAAACAAATTCTACCTTTATGTACTTATGCACTAATCCCAGTCAGGGCTAACAGTGACAGCAACATTTTATTCTTTACAAAGGTGGCATACCCCCGTTTTCATAGGCGACTCAGAAGGAGAAGCCAGTAGAATCTTTGGGTGAGTGTAACACACTGCTGGGGTTATCCAGAGCTGTAAACCACTGTGTTAACTCACTGCTCAGCAAAACTGAGTTTGCCAGAGATTAGGCTGCATGTCAGTCCCCTGCCTTACCATTCTGTCTTCCTCACCAGTCAAACTCCTCAAGGATCTGCCAATCCAAACCTTCCGTAGCAGATAGCAGTCAGTGAACTCAAGATCCAGATGTCTTCAGAGTTGTTTCTCTGTAATGCAGAGCCCCTGTCACAGAAGATAAAGACAAAATACATTACCATTTATTAACTGAGTAAACATACCCTTCCCTTCAAACGCAGCACTAAGTCAGACAGTTTATAGTAAAAATAAAACACAGGCATTTAACTAAAAGGCATGAGTTAAGTGATGCAACATAAAAGGGATAAAGGTAGAAATGGCTACAAGCAAATAAAAATATGCATCTAATTGACTAAAACTTAATCTAGCAAAATAGAGTCTCTGTACAAGATGGTTTTTCTCCTCCAAGGCTCTTTTCTGACTTTTACTGATCGGGATCAGAAGATCACATTTTATAGTTCCTTTGTCTCCTAAGGTGAAGGATAATGCAGTTTTTTGCTTTCTCTTTTATAGTCCAGTGAACCTTTGAACTGTATTCTTCTGAAGGGTATAATACAGCTAGATAAAGTGTATTAGTTCATATTGAGTAAAGGAGTGATGGATCTGGGGGATAAGGGTCCATTCTGATTCCTATCCCACTACATGCAAGTTGATCTGTTCCTCCAACCTCCAGTATTCATATGACTAACCAATTGACTATGATTGCTCCTGGATTGAGACTTCAGCCTTTCCTTCGTCTGAGGAAAAAAACTTGTATTACCAAGTTCCCACTTGTCTGATTTGAACACATTTTAGTCCTGTATTTCCAGCACAACTCTGTGGTCTTTTGTGGGTTTACCACACTATACAAGAATATTAATGATCAGCATGTTACTAGTTTTCCAATGAGACCTTACACTGCATCTCTTAGATATAGATTACTAGAAAATGTACCTAGCTGTGCTTGGTCCTTAACTCGATTTTTGTTTTTTTAAAAAATAATATGAAAACATACATGCTTCATTTAAATCATTGTTTTGGAGTGAGGCTGACCATGAGAGAGGGATTTAGTACTCAGGCTGCCCTGCAGAGAGGGAGGACTACCCAAGCCCTCTCTCACCACAGAAGCTTTGGGCCAGTGTGAAGCACCTCTCCATGGCTGCTGCAGCTCACGCAGGCATAGCTGGGGGAAGGGGTGCATGTCCCCTGGCTGGGGCCGGTCCAGGTTTGTCTGCCTCCTGTGCTTCCCTGCCAGAGTAAGGAATACAGCAAACTGTGCACTTTCTCCTTGCTCCCTGACAAAGGGGAACAGCCAGCGATGTTCCTGTATGAATTGGGGAAGGGGGAGGCTTGGGGCTAGGGTAATCCTGGACTGGTAGGGGGCACACCCCCATCCAGCCCCTTTTCCCTGCTTAGTCATTCTGTCTCTTTTTTCTGTTTTATGAGAAGCAATCCCATTCCAGGCACATCCCATTTTCCTGGCACAACCAAACCCTTACTTTGCTTTACGATATGATAAGAAGAACCTGCATACTGAATTTGGTAATCCTTGCTCTTACTGTTTGGGAGGAGTTCTTGAATAATCAGACAGACAATCAGACAGCTTCACAGATGCACTCTCAAATATATAGTAGATGACATTAGTGAGGTGGGGTACTCTGACCTGTTCTCCTGAAACTCACTGCTAGATGCTAGGGAGCCTTTTGCCCTCTAACATCGGGGTACTGTTAGGGTGACAGTAAGTCTCCTGCATTTGATAGCATAATTTTTTTTCTTGTTGTTAGTAGAATAAGATTTAAAAAAATCAAGAGATGTGTTCAGCAAAAAGAATGCCTGCCTTATTTTATTAAAAGGAACATTTTCCCTTGTAATCTTACATAGATGTGATCTCTTTGCTGTGTGTTCCTTCCAGTGACCAGAGAGCCACATTATCTACCAAAACACTCCTTGCACGACTGGGAAGGAATGGCCGTACTGTCACAGCAGCCCTTTCATCAGAAGCCAAAGATCTTACTAAATCTGTCCGTGCCATTCTGGAAGTAGATTGTGAGTATAAGTTCTATTTCCCACTTCCTAGCACAGCCTTTTTACTGGCAATTCAGTATGGAATATTTCAGCAGTTATCAACTGAATAATAAACCTATCATTCATTACTGTAGGTTTATCAGAAGAGAGAACATTTGAGCGTAACTGCCTCTAGGAAAATTCTCAGTGAAAACTGCTGCAGTAATTCAGATAGTTGTAGCATTAACACTTATTATAGGATCATAAGCTGGAAGGGTGATTTCTATTCATGATTTCCCATGTTTATTGTTAGCCCTTATCAAGGCATCTTTGTTATTATGCCGAAACCCGTATTTCATATTGTAGCTAGTCTACATTTTGGTTGTGGTTCCAGGAATACACTAATTATACTGTCTGGTGATAGGAAGTAAAAGGGACCCTCTAACAAGTATGTCTCCTATACCCTGCTTTAAATTAAACCACCTTTTAACACCATAAGCCTGTTGGTCCTGATTGTTTTATCAACTGCACTGCTATAAATTGATATACATAATTGTCAAAAGAATTATTGTAATGTAAAACTGAAGTGAAAGGAGAATCAGATACAATATAAACATAAAAGAAAAATTATATTCGAGCAGAAAACTGTGCTTTTTCTTTGACCAAAATGAGATTTGATTTTTTTTCCATATTATTATATTATTTTATAGTTGAAATGATCTATTTTTTCAGAGTGGACTAGAAAGAATGTTGTGGTAATGAGCATTGACCAGTATTCTATTACAACTGGCTGATAGAAAAGGCTGCCAGCCCATAGTTTTCAAATGCTACGAATCAGTTTAGGATAGCAGTCATTTCTGAAGAAAAGTTATATACTAATGATAAAATGTGAAAATCCTGGAGTCTTTTCCAGTATGTTTAATACCTTAGTTCATGATTAACTCTCCTGATTCAAGGAACTGGAATTGCAAATGAATACAGAGTTTGGGTGGCAAAGACAAGGTATTTGATGACAGAGCTGACTACGTCACGCTTTCCAATTACAATTTATGAAGAAGTCATCAAGGACTACAGTCCTGTTTCTCATTTACACTAAAGACCTCTTTACACTGCTCTGGCATTGCAGAAGTCTTCTTCAGAGACAGCATGATATAATTAGGTGAAAATATTGATTTAGATCTGTGTACAAGGAGCACATATCACAGCGCAAAGGAGCAAAAAATATCTTGATGCCTGTGTCTTTTATTCAGTCTTTTCTCTCCTCCTTACACTCTGCACCAGGCGTAAAGAGGGGGGTGGCACTTAAAGGTTTCCCTGAGCAGAGGGAGTCATCAAGAGCTGGTTAGGTCAGCTTTATAGCTACTTTTTAATCATCAGAGCAGCACAGAGCCTGTAGTAGAGGCCAGGTCCTGGCTAAGATTGGAGAGTCAGGAACCTCTTGCATAGCAGTCCCAACCCTGCTGCTGATTTGCTGTGAGACCTCTGCCTTATTTTCCCCTTTTCTAAAATGAAACTAATTCCTGCCATACATGTGGGTCCCCCCAAGGACTAATTAGTTGTTTGTACAGGACTTTGAACCTGTAAAGTGTGATATGGGTGTGATGCATTTGATCACAAAGGTCCCCAAAAGGTCCCCACAACCTGACACACAGTTTGCTGATTATTCCACTGAACCTGCCTACCTGCCCTCTCAGGAACCCCACCCCCCTGACCCACTGGGCCAGAAGTTCTGGTCTTCCCCAGCAAAGGCACAGGATTGGGGTAACAACTCCCCTGTTACCCGCACAAATTTCTCTGTCCCTTCCACACTTTAGGGACACACACCTTTACCCAATTCCTAGAGCTCAAGCTGCAACCCTGTTAATTTAAACACCCACCCGTATCCAATTTCTAGGGCATAGGGCTTAACTTCCTGTGAGTTTGCAGGATCTGTTGCCACTGAAAGAGCCTAACACAGTAATATTCTTATTCTCTATTTTTTGACAATTCCCAAGCAAGAAGAATACACATGCTAAGCACACAGTGTCATGCTCACCAATCCTGATAAAGGCAGACAGACTTCCCCTGTTGGTCAGGCAAGGTCAGTCTCTCTGGATTTTAACTGCTGCACGTTACGGTGATGTAGAGGAATGCTGGCAGTTGTGGTCTTAGGCTGTGTCTTAGTCGTGAGTTCTTCTTCCAGTTCTTCCCTCCTTCTTGATGTTCCTTTCTTCCTTTCCTCTTTCCTTGTCTTCTTTTCCCTTTTTTCCTCTTTTCCCTTTTCTTCTGGTCTTCTTGGACCCCAGTTTATATAGTGAAACTTGAGTCCTGTTTAGCTATACTTTAACCATTTCTTTAAGTATAATTTTACTAACCAGTCATAACATACGATAATAGAATAACCTAACCAATCATACCCCACCACCTTAGTTGATTTACACCTAGCAAAATTAATTATACAGTACAGAAACAGTTACAAACCAGAGAGAACTCACACAGACAAACAATAGGAAAGTGAGTACAACAATCAGAGAATGAGGATTCCACAACCTCAACTACTGATAAAAAGTGTCTTGCCAGATTAAATGCTGTTAACTAAGTTTTCTCCACCCATCTTGATATCTGTTTCTTTACCTGGGGCAGTGGGTGCAATTAGAACAGGATCTCTTTCTCACAGCCTGATGTGACACTATTTTAATACAATTTAGCTGAAACGTGAGCATGTGACTCCAGGCTTTATACCTAATGGCTGCTGCTCTTCAGTCTGGTTGCAGAGGAAGGCTTTAGTTTAGGCCTTCCAATGTGGCTATAGAAAAACCTTATTGTTACACTCCAACAGAATAACACTGATGCTGACAACAGCTCAACTCTAGGGACTTAATAGCACTTGGGAACACAACCCTTAAAAGGGACCAAAACCCCAAATAAATCCATCTTACTCTGTATAAAAGTCTTACACAGAGAACACTCATAAGGCTTGCTTTAGAATCATAGAATCCTATGGCTGGAAGAGACCTCAGGAGGTCATAGAGTCTAGCCCCCTGCCCAAAGCAGGACCAACCCCAACTAAAACATCCCAGCCAGGACTTTGTCAAGCTGAGACTTAAAAACCTCTAGGAATGGAGATTCCACCCGCTCCCTACGTAACCCATTCCAGAGCTTCACCACCCTGCTAGTGAAAGTTTTTCCTAATATCCAACCTAGACTTCCCCCACTGTGACTTGATACCATTGCTCCTTGTTCTGCCATCCATCACTACTGAGAACAGCCTCTCTCCATCCTCTTTGGAACCTCCCTTCAGAAAGTTGACAGTGAAAGAGAGAGATTCACAGCTGTGGTTCCTCCTCCTCCCCAAGGTAACAATTATTTACACTGGGCTTGATAATAAACAGCAGTTATTTTATTAAGTATAAAAGTAGAATTTAAGTGGTGATTGCAAGTGAAAACAGACAGATCAAAGCAAGTTACTAATAAAAATAAACAAAACAGATCAGCTAATCCTAATACACTGAGAGATCATTACAGATCATAATTCTCATTTAATCCTTATTCCAAGTAAAATCCTTCAAGGCCAGTGATCACCAACCAGTAGATCAGGATCTACTGGTAGATCTTGGAGCCTCTGACAGGTGATCCTGACTGGTTTGGCCAGGAGGCTATCATGCACAGCACTTAGAACATAACATAAGAACGGCCGTACTGGGTCAGACTAAAGGTCCATCTCGCCCAGTAGCTTGTCTGCCGACAGTGGCCAACACCAGGTGCCCCAGAGAGGGTGGGCCGAAGACAATGATCAAGCAATTTGTCTCCTGCCATCTCTCCGCTCTCTGACAAAAAGAGGCCAGGGACACCATTTCTATCCCTGGCTAATAGCCTTTTATGGACCTAACTTCCATGAAATTACCTAGCTTCTCTTTAAACTCTGTTATAGTCCTAGCCTTCACAGCCTCCTCTAGCAAGGAGTTCCACGGGTTGACTACACGCTGTGTGAAGAAGAACTTTCTTTTATTAGTTTTAAACCTGCTATTAACTTCATTTGATGTCCTCTAGTTCTTCTATCATGGGAACTAATAAATAACTTTTCTTTATTCTCCCTCTCCATGCCACTCATGATTTTATAGACCTCTTATCATATCTCCCCTCAGTCTCCTCTTTTCTAAACTGAAAAGTCCCAGTCGTTTTAACCTCTCTTCATATGGGACCCGTTCCAAACCCCTAAGCATTTTAGTTGCCCTTTTCTGAACCCTTTCCAAGGCCAAAATATATTTTTTGAGGTGAGGAGACCACATCTTTACACATTATTCAAGATGTGGGCGTACCATAGTTTTATACAGGGGCAGTAAGATATTCTGTGTCTTATTTTCTGTCCCTTTCTTAATAATTCCCAGCATCCTATTTGCCTTTTTGACCGCCGCTGCACACTGTGGAAGTTTTCAGAGAACTGTCCACGATAACTCCAAGATCTCTTTCCTGATTTGTCATAGCCAAATTAGCCCCCATCATACTGTACGTATAGTTGGGGTTATTTTTCCCAATGTGCATTACTTTACACTTATCCACCTTAAATTTCATTTGCCATTTTGTTGCCCAGTCACTCAGTTTGGTGAGATCTTTTTGGAGTCCCTCACAGTCTGCTTCTGTCTTGACTATCCTAAACAGTTTGGTATCATCCGCAAACTTTACCACCTCACTGCTTACCCCTTTCTCCAGATCATTTATGAATAAGTTGAACAGGATTTGTCCCAGGACTGACCCTTGGGGGACACCACTAGTTACCCCTCTCCATTCTGAAAATTTACCATTTATTCCTATCCTTTGTTTCCTGTCTTTTAACCAGTTCTCAGTCCATGAAAGGACCTTTCCTCTTATCCCATGACAAAGTAATTTACACAAGAGCCTTTGGTGAGGGACCTTGTCAAAGGCTTTCTGAAAATCTAAGTATATTATATCTACTGGATCCACCTTGTCTGCATGTTTGTTAATCCCTTCAAAGAATTCTAATTCCGTGGTCACCAACCCGTCGATCACGATCAACTGGTCGATCGTGAGGCCTCGACCAGTCG